TCGGAAGATGTAGAAGGCTTGATACATCATCAAGTGTGATGGTCATCTCACCAACTAGAAGATGAAACAACATCTCTATGTGTTATATCCTAAAACCGTAGTTCATCAGGTTGCGCCAACTTTACAACATTCCTACTATGGTTGATACATTTTAATGTATCACATTACTATAAAAAAATAAATACATCCATCATAAGATAATTTAAATATTATGACATAAATGTTTGAAAGAGTAATTAAAGATTTATGTTACCTCTCCCTATCACATGTTCCTAGCAGCATGGTTTAGATACATAGGAAGCAGTGAAAGGTATGAAGGGTCTCCCATAAACCATCAGGCACGACAATATTTGGGGAAACAAGGGCTTCTGGGGCAACGTGTAGGGTGTTAAGTGGTTCGAACAAATTCGAAGCAAAACAGAATCCAAACCAAACCATAGTGTTTGGGTTTGACATTTTTTAGTTTGGAAAATTTTGAATCAAACCGATGAAATCAAACGAAAATTGGTTCGGGCACTGGATCCAAAATTCTACCTGCAAACATGTTAACCCGAACCAATCGTAATTAACTCTCATGACTCATATATCATTATTATTATGGAAACTAGTACCAAACATTCAACTTCAAGAAGAAAAAATTGAAATGTCGTTTGTGGGCATGCTATGAAATTTTATTTGATTTTAACTTGTAATTATAAAATTGCTAATATATTGTGGTAACCGGATATATAGTTAAGAACAATATTCATACCATACTAATTGAAGTGACTAATTGCATATTTAAAATCCTTTATCTTAGATGTTTTTGAATCTATTATGCAAAAACTGTTAATCTAGTATTTATAATTGAACATTATTAATACTATAATTTATTTATTTTTTAAATTATTTTATTCAAATATTTTTGCACTTTTTTAATGTACTCGATCAATCCAAACCAAACCAAACCAACCTGTTGTTTCTCGATTAGGTTTGGTTTGGATTTTATCGAAAAAAATTCAAATCCCATCCAAACTAATTCATATATTTTTAATCGGTTTGAGCATCAAATTCTCTAGAAACCGAAACAAACAGGTCCGCAACACCGCTAGCAGCAAGAGACATATGAATCTGGGAAGACGATGTCAAAGACACATAAACCTGGGAAGATGATTCCTAGACATCAAATGAAGTTTCTCCAACTACATGTCACAAGGGTCTAGCTTTCTCATAGTGAACGGGAGCATGTTGGGACACTCTACCATGTCTTAGTCTATCTTGGTTGTCATACACTTTTTCTACAATAAAACAAGAAAAATCATATCATAAACAAAGAAAGTATTGTCAAACTGGACAAAAAACTTATGGCAGGTAACTCTAGATTTTGTTATCTGAACTAAGAGTTTGGATTTCAAAATCTGGATCACACACCACCAACAAAAATGAAGTAGAGAAACAGAGTACAAACCCTAAGCTCTAATGTAGGAAATGGAGAAACCACACAGTGTAAGACAAACAAGGCACGAATATATATGTATATATATATATATATGTCAAATTAAAAAAGAAGGCTTAATTGCAACTTTGGTCCCCTTATTTTGTGTTTTTTTTTAGTTTTGATCCCTCTATTTTAAAAACCACAATGTTGGTCCCTTTTTTAGGTTTCAAGATTAATATTAGTCCCTTTGTCATTTTAAGTCATGGTTTTAATGAGGTGGCGCGTTGAACACTGATGTGGCATTTCCATGTCATTAACTTAAATATTATTTCGTTTTCATAAATTTAATAAAATCAAACTTAAATAAAAAACCCCGTTGACTTAAATATTATTTCATTTTCATCTTAAACCCATTGTAACCATTTTCATCTTCCCATTTCTTCACGAACGAATGAAACCGCAAACCCAGTTCTTCTTCCCATTGTAACCCATTTTCCTCAACAAATCCATACCAGCCCTCCTATTTACCAACATGTCTGAAACGAATTTATCTTTTTCCTCAACAAACCAGTCTGGGTCTGGTATAAGAATAAGAGGTAATAGATGTTGGTGTGAGCTTGAGTCACCGTTGATGACGTCATGGACATACGATAATCCCAGAAGAAGATTTCATGGGTGTGGTAATTTTAAGGTGATAAGGAAAAAAGGATGTAATTACTTTCAGTGGGTTGATGAAGACATGAGCAGTCGTGCTAAAGATGTGATAAGATCTTTGAAAGACAAGAATGAGGAGCTCATGGATGTGATTAAGGACATCAAGAAAAATGAAGATTTGTTGAAGATGAAAATTAGGTTTATGTATTATTTTGTGGGGTTATCTTTGATGTTTGTATTTTTAATTGTGTTTGCATTAGTTGCAACACATGTACTCAAATGATGTAATGTCAAATGTTGTAGTTACTTTGATGTTTATGTAGTTTCCAAATGAAATAATTTCAAATGAAGAGTTATGATTGTCTGTGTTAATGAAGAATTATGTTATAGTTACTTTGATTGTCTTCAAATGATGTTTAGGGAGTATAACCTTGTATTATGTGCAAATTGTTTGAAACATATTTTATGTGCAAACAATTTGAAACAGATTTTAAATTGGAAACAAATTTTATGTGCAAACAGTTTGAAACAGTTTTGTGTTGGGTTACATAACAGGGTCTTATAAAGGTTACATAACAGTTTTATTGAAACAGATTTGTATTGGATAATTTGTGTTGGGTTACATAACAAGTGACATAACAGGGTCTTATAACAGGTTACATAACAGAATTTACTCTGTAGATAAAAACCAACTTTACTCTGTAGAGTACTGGAGAACATTAATAGAAAACTGTTTGAATTAATCTACATCAAGTGATACATCCAAGGCTGCTACCACCTGTCTTAACAGAAACTGAAGATGGAAGATCAAGGTTTAAACCCCCAGTTCCACAAATTTACTTTGGCAATAAGTCAAAACCAACACAGTAATTAAATCTCCAAGATCATTTGCCGGTTCTCGCCTGAAGTGAAGCCCTTGCAGAGTATTATTTTCGAATGCCATATGGTATGTTGAGAAAAATAAGCAGCAACGTTCTAGCCGAAGGTCCTTCTACAAAAGCGTCGTGTTGCTAATGCTGCTACATCTCAGAATATAAACAATCACATTCCTAGATTTTCTACAATCAAATCAGTTACAATCTTCTCAGGACTCTGTCATGTAGCAGCCTTGATTCAAATCTTGATTTAAAATGTTATGAAGTTGAAAGCAATCAAGATTCACCTGACATGTCATTACCACCAATTATTGAAGACAATATTATAACATTGAATCATTCAAATACAACATCTGATGCATCAGAGCACAATGGAATAAGCCATCTTTCTGTGGCAGATGTGTTGAAAAAGGAAATTTCCCCTCAAAACAATATTGATCTGCCTCGGAATGAGGTTTCCATTTCTGAGGATATGAAGTGTCTGACGCCAGTAGTTGTGGATGTTGACAAAGCAAATGACATGAGTGAGGTCATAAAAGAGGTAAAATGTAAAGGACCAGAGGAGGATTTAAATTTTGTTTCTACATCTGACTATCTGGGTCAAAAGGTTATTTCAGGCATTCGGTCAAGTACATCCTTGACAGATGGGGGAGACTTCCTTCCACAAGGATCACCTCCAAACACGTCAATTTGCAATGTATCCACATCAGACAATAGTAATATGCTTCACAATGGAAGTTGTAGTCCTGAGCTTGAAATGGAAGATGTTGCTCCCACTTGTGACGTTGAAATGAATTCATTTTGCAATGTTCTTCATTCTTCTCAACGAAAGTCCAGTTTACGTTCTTCTCAATTTTGAGGTAGAAGGAAAACTCATATTTGTGGATACCTCTGAAGTTGCATTAGAAGCAGTACATAAAGGATCGTATTATAAACAACGTGTCCGCGAGAAGGAAAATCATTAACCATTAACCAATAACAGAAACTCTAAATCCAAGTTGACTAACATATTAGGTAAATATAGTTAGTTTTTGAACATCATCCAAAGGGAGCAGGTTACTAACTGAACCTGATCCAGAAATGACCCTCATTAACACAAATCACACAAGACCTCATTAACACAAATCTGGCTTCATCCTACCCAAACTGCTTTTCATGAAAACACAACCTGGCAACAGCTAAATAAAAATTGACAAACCTAGTCTAAAAAAAGTCATGGATATAAACTACATTGTTGGATCCCAACTCTAACCATCAAACAAAACGAAATGCATTTATAGAATCTGTTATTTTTGGTAAAAAAATGTTGGAGATATGAAAGCATACTTCTGCTATCAATGATGCCTCTGCTTGCTTCAATCTCACAGTCTCCTCATATCCTCTAACTTATTTCCATAATGATCTATAAGACTATCTTTAGATTCAAAAAGTTCAAGAACACTACCACGATGTTTATACTTTTGTTGAGTACGATTTGCACGTAATTGAGCAACCCTTTTATACAAACTCTTTGACTTATTCTAGATTTAAGAGAAAGACGTGTGTCTAAGTTTCATAATTATAAAAATTAAATAGAAATGTATCATATCAAAGTACACATCTAAAGAGTTTCCAGCAAAATCAAGAATATTAATATCTTGTAACTGATTTCCCCAACAATTCACAGGAAGAAGCACAAAGAACACTTCATAACAGCAGAAGTTCAAAAATTCATAACATATCTTGTAACTGATTGCCAGTAAAGAACACTTCATAACATATCTGTTATCAAAAATTCATTCATAACAGCAGAAGTTCTGTTTTGGCTCTTGCAACAGAAGTTCAATTAACAGTGAATGTATACACTTCATAACAGCAGTTCAATTATTATGGATCAAAAACCTGTTGGTAGACTGATGTATCAAACAACAACATTGTATAACAGCACTACATAACATAACATTGAAGGCTAATGTATCAAGACGGGTGTATCATTACATTGACGACAGCATTAAAGACAACATATTTTAACAAGAACTATTCTTGGGTTGGTGGCAGCGCTTGCGACCCTCCGCCTACAACAGTTTCTCCCGCTTCCTTGCTCGACTTGTCACCCTTTTTTTAGATTTTTTGTTGCCACCTTTAGGAATCGCTCTCTCCGCAGCTCGCTTCCCTTTACACGTTCGTTTGTTATGGCCAAAACTCCCACATTTCTTGCACTTAACAGTTTGAAGAGTTCTAGGCAGTGTATTTCTTATCCTCGGTTCATCATTCGCCTTATTATGATTCTTCTTAGAACGACCGATAGATCTTCGCATGACTGGAGGGCTGATTGGGTTAGCAACATTAACAGGCCATAGTTGTGGGCCATTGGTTGACATGATGATATAGCTATAAGTATCCAGAACAGTAGATTTCCTAGACAATATGACACAATGATTTTAGTTAACGTACAAAAAAGATAAATGTAAATGAACATAATATACGAGTAGGTGATACCTATAGAATGATGAAACGTAATCTTTGGGCTCCTTCTTGTTATACCATATGCATGCAATAGCATGACAACATGGTATTCCACTTAAATCCCACTTCCTACAACCATATTTCTGTTGAAGCAAGTTCACAACATATGTCTCAACACCGTTTGAAACTCTGAATATAGCAAAGTCATCATCCGCATGCCATGTTGCAATCCATCCTTCTGTTACCTCTTTATTTTTTCCAAAACTTTTTGAATGCTAGGACTTGTAACACCTGTGTACCTACTTAATTTCTCCTTTTGAGCAGATATTCTCACTGTTTTGTAATGTTTGATTCCTTCAAGTAGTGAAATGATCGGCTTATCTCTATACTCCAAGATTGCATGATTAAAAGCCTCACACATATTGTTGACTTGCAAATCACATTGTGTGTCTGTTTTGAAATGAGACCGAGTTCAACATGCAGCTAGGACATCCATCATGTCTTTCCAAGCATTGACATTGAGCTCTTTCATATGATTCATTTCTCTTTCCCATGCCGGAATTGTTGTGGCTTTAGTTGCCCGCCATAAAGCCTCCTTCATAAATATCCCAGGATATTTCTTTCTCCAATTGCCATACAATTGTTTAACACATAGTCTGTGTTCAACATGTTGGCTTGTCTCAAGAATAGCCAGTACCATTCCCTAAAATAACAGCACATATCAGTATATAACAGTAGCAATACCAATTATGTAACAGCAGCAGCATCACATATCAAGTACCAATGATAAACGATGGAAAAATACATGATTTTTTCAGCAAAACTCAATGTTCAAATTTTGGAACAGATCAGTACTGTACACCAACATCACATATCAGTATTGTACAGCAAACAACATGTCAACAGCATTGTAGCAAATAGCAGCACTGTAAAACTAACCTTCTGTTGATCTGATATAAATCCATATTTGTTGTCTTGTATAGATTGCAAGTCTTCTAATAACAAATTAAGGAACCATTTCCATGAGTCTTTCGTTTCAGCTTCCACTACGGCATAAGCGATTGGATAAATCTTGTTATTTTCATCCTTACCAACAACACCTATTAACTGACCTCCAAAGTCCCCTTTAAGAAAACAAGCATCCAGTCCTATTAGAGGCCTACACGTCGTTGCAAACGCTGTCTTACAAGCTTCTAAGCATACATATATTCTTTCAAAGACAGGACCACCATCTGAATCAACACACTTAATTTTAACAGTGGAGTTTGGATTTGACTTTAACAACTCCTCACCATAGCTTCTAAGATGTGTGAATTGTTCACGACCAGCACCTTGAATCAATTCCATTGTCTTTTTCTTGGCTCTATAAGCTTGATCCTTTGACAACTTCACCCCTCACTTCTTAATAGCTTCTGCAATCAGCCCTTTGGTTTTTATTTCAGGAGTGTGTCTTATGGTGTACACAAATTGGCGACCCAACCAATCCATTTTTGCTTGTCTATTTTTGGTTGTCCTATGACAGCCATGACGATCAGTCAAGCTAACAAGTTGCCAATAATGATTGGTAGTCCTCATGTTAAACCTAATATGAAATGGACAACCATCTACACACTTGACAACCATTCTCTTCTTGTCATTTTTCTTAAATACAAGATTCTTTTTGTTCTTCATGGCATACACCTTTATGGCATCTTTGATTTGTTGTTTATCCTTGAACATCATCCCTACTTCAAGTTTTGTGGGTTCCCTAAAGATTGGAAACTTTGTCGTATCACCTCCAGCATCACTACCGGGTGGAATTTGAAGCACATCTGAATCACTATCATTATCGGAATTATCATCCAACTTTGAAGGTTTTTCTGCATTAGGTAAAACGGTCTTCCAATTTATACTAGCATCAACACCTAAATTCATCACATCAATTTCATCTTCCAAATCTTCATCCTCTTCCTCGTCATCCTCACTGCCCATGTTATAATCTGGATCTGTTTCACTCTCGTCATCTACGTCATCAACATTAACGCTAACCTCTTCATCTACTCCATCAACACTAACCTTTTCATCGTTTGCTCCCTCGACATTAACTTCATCGTTTTCTCCCTCAATATTAACTTCATCATTTGCTCCCTCGACATTAACTTCATCGTTTGCTCCCTCGACATTAACTTCATCATTTGCTCCCTCGACATTAACTTCATCATTTGCTCCTTCACCGTTTGCTCCTTCACCATTTCCTTTTTCACCATTATCCTCCTCAAAAATAACATCCTCAATACTTATTTTTTCAACTTTGTGTTCAACATAAAGATCAACTACCTTAAATCCTCTAACATCCTCCATTAACCTTAAGACATCATTATCATTGTTAAGAGGCCGAAGTCCACGAGAAAAGGAAAAATTAGGATTCCAATACCATAAACACTTTATATTACGATACCCCTCACTCTTGATCAAATCTTCAATTTGCATGTAGGACATTAAGTCCACATCCCAATCCCAATTCATTTCAGTTACAAGCCCATCAACATACAACAGAACTGGATTCTGAATTAAATGTCCCCTATGGTGTACTCTAAATCTAACAGCTTCGGTATCAGAGGGCCTACAAAACACAAACGAAAGTTTCTGAATTAAACCATAGATAAAACCGGGAGTTGGTATTAACAATTCGTATGCTATGACAGAACACAAACGCCATTTGCATGTTTAGGGTTTTTGTATTCATATGTGAGTTACGAAACATACCTCGAGGCGTAACTTCGGTTTTCCATTTCAGAGACGACAGAAAGCGAGCTGCGGTTTGATATAGAACTGGGTTTGAAGAAATGGGAAGATGAAAATGGATTACAATGGGAAGAAGAACTGGGTTTGCGGTTTCATTCGTTCGTGAAGAAATGAGGTTTTTTATTTGTTATAAGAATTGGGTTACAATTGAAGATGAAAATGAAATAATATCCCTATTAATGGGGTTTTTTATTTAAGTTTTATTTTATTAAATTTGTGAAAATGAAATAATAATGACATGGAAATTATATTAAATTTAAAAAGGCCATTTTAACTGACATGGAAATGCCACATCAACATTTATCGCGCCACCTCATTAAAACCATGACTTAAAATGACAAAGGAACTAATATTAATCTTGAAACCTAAAAAAGGACCAAAATCTTGGTTTTTAAAATAGAGGGATCAAAACTCAAAAAAACACAAAATATGGGGACCAAAGTTGCAATTAACCTAAAAGAATAAACAATTTATAAAATATTTGCTTTGTTTGATCTTAGATTGACTAGACTAGTAGAATTCCAAAGACGTGTTAAGAATCAATGCAATGAAATAGAAGTTCTGAAAATTCTTAAAAAATAATGGAACAATAGTATGTTTTAATTTGCTCTAGATGGCTCTAATTTTACTTTGTTTCCAGAAATGAAAATGGAAGGGAGGGGAAAAGGTGAAAATACTTAGAGAGAAGTGTTCATATTCTAATCTCAACAAGCATTTTGTACATTGAACTCCAAATTATCTTTAAATTATGTGGTTTTGAGATTGGATATAAGTGTGATGTGTTGAGACACATTTGGAGTTCAGTGTTCGCAACTTACAAAATTGATCCCAAAATTCAGATTTTTTTTAGATCTTGCTTTGAGAGCTTATTATGTATTAAGTACATTCGAATTTTAAAATCTAAACTTTAGAATTATATTTGTAATTTTGTTGGGGTGTGTGAGTAACTCAGAGAGTATATTGAACAGTTCCTTAATTAGAGGGTGCCAAATGAGGTAGGGTCATAAGCATTAGAATTTTGACTATGGTTATGAGGTCCATATGAAGCTCGATTGTACAAGTCAATATAATTTGCTGAAAATCCCTAAAAATTTGAAGGAACAAAACCTTAAAAGTTCATATTTACCAAATTTGAATCACGTCTGGCATTGAATGTGAGATAAACGACCTCCCCTGCCACGACCACTCCCATTTCTTGCTCCGCGGCCGCGATTAGAGCCAAACTAAGATGCATCAAGGTCTGTGGAATGAGGTATACAGGACCAAGGGTGCAGATTGATCAATGTTGGGATGAAAAGTTGAAGGAGGCACCTTCATTAGTAGTTTTCTTCTTGAACCTGTGAAGACGAGTTTCATGAGCATGAAGAAGTGTCTCAACTTCATCAATATCCATAGTTTCAACTTTCAACGACAAAAATCACAAGATTGAACTCTTGAGGCGAACTTTCTAATATCACATCAATATGTCCAATTGATGTAAGAGTCGAATGCACATTAAATACTTTTGAACAGTGCTTGCAAAGGTTGTAATTATCGTGCTTTTGCACTCATTTGTTTGTAGAAATCGAAAAGAAGTTTCCCCCAAAGCTCATAGGAGTGAGCACATCCATGAACACAAACAATGATCTCACTAAAGAGTGTATATTGAAGTCACGAGAGAAGCATTTGATTATTTATATACCATGAACTGAATCCTGGATTCAGTTTGCCACACGCATGATCTTCATCGTTGAGAAATTTTGCTGGAACTGAGGGAGACAAGAAAATCATGGAAGTCGTGAGCATTGATGTAAGGTTCAATTTGTTGACGCCAAACATAAAATTATGCTCGTTGAGTTTCTCATAAACAGTTTTTAAAAATTCTAAGTTGAACGGATGAAGATTCATCATCTATGAAGGAAATAAATAGTGGAGAACAAGTAGAAATGTAATCACCTATGGGGTGAAGTGATGATGGTGGTGGAGACGGTGGAGGAAGAGAAAGCTCCATGGATCAATAGCTCTTTTATACTATTTTAAATTTTAAGAGAATTCATATCTAAAATTACTTGGTATGTGCTATTTTTCATTGATTTCAAAAAGAAAAGATTACAATTTATATAGTTCTTTTGCATAGTGCACATCTAGAATATTTCTTCTAACTTATTCTAACCTAGTGTCATTGTTAAAACTAACTTATCCTAGAACATATCTCAACTAGCTCTAATGATGGGCTATGAAGAAAAACATCCACAATAGGTCAATAGCAATGCAAGTAAGAGACATATTACATACTTGTCAAGACATATTACATTCTCGTCAAAAATCTCAAGGCATTATGTATATACGAGTCTTATAAAATGTCCAACCTTCATTTTTCAAACAATATGGAATTTTCAACTCGCTTATATCTCAACATCTAATCATATCTAATCATATGCATAGGTGCATAGGTTAAAGCTAAGGTTAGAACATTCCCAAACTAATTCTCAACCTAGGCACAAATGCATTAGGCTTTAACAAAATGACTAGCTGTTAGGAACAGTTGGCAGTGCAACAACTTAATTTGATGTTTGATATACTCTAATACATGGTCATCTTAAATTTTAGTTACTGTTTCGATATTCCAAGAGACTTGAGTAGTACTCTCTCCCCTGT